ATAGTAAACTACATGTGCTATTTTAGTGAAGGGAACAAACAGTAATGCATAAAAGAGACGCTATACATTACAATAATTTTTATTATATTATTTGCACTAGGCTCAGCAAAAGCTATCACATCAAGTTTAAAAAAAAAAAAAAAAAAACAACAACAACTGGTGTCTAAAAGAAAGAGTTGGTGCCTACAAAGACTTGAGATTACAGGTTTTCTACCTTGGTATTACAATCATACACATGTGTGCCTTTTTAAAAAAAATGAACATGAGTAATAAAAAAAACTATTTTTTAAACTACATAATTTATGAACAAAGAAATAGCCACTTTATATTCATTTATCTGAACATATAAATGTGGAGATTTATTATAGGTGGAGTTAGTAATGTCTCTAAACAGAAAGTGGAGATTTGTATCAGGGTAGGTTGTATTGTCCTTGAGTAGAAAGTAGAAATCTGCGATCTCTGTGTGGGTTTCTGGACCCCCTTCTGGGCAGCAGAAGGACAGACTCACTACCCCCCCCCCTCCCCTCTCCCCGAAAAACATGTCATAAAAGAAAACTAATTAGGGGTGAATCCTTCAAAGTTGCAGCATACTGCCTGAGAGGCATGAAACCAACAGTCTGCACACAAATAAGACAAATCTGTAAAATGAATGTGCATGCAAAACTTAAGTTCTGGAACAAGATCAAAGTAAAGAAACGGAGGAACAACGAGAACTTTTCCCAATGGAGTTTAAAGTCACTGAATGCACAGAATAGGAAATCTGTGAGTGGAATTAGTCTACACATCTGAGACAGTGTAGTTAGGACTGTTCCTAATCCATAAGTAGAATTAGTCTACACATCTGAGACAGTGTAGTTAGGACTGTTCCTAATCCATAAGTAGAATTAGTCTACACATCTGAGACAGTGTAGTTAGGACTGTTCCTAATCCATAAGTAGAATTAGTCTACACATCTGACACAGTGTAGAATTAGTCTACACATCTGACACAGTGTAGAATTAGTCTACACATCTGACACAGTGTAGAATTAGTCTACACATCTGAGACAGTGTAGTTAGGACTGTTCCTAATCCATAAGTAGAATTAGTCTACACATCTGACACAGTGTAGTTAGGACTGTTCCTAATCCATAAGTAGAATTAGTCTACACATCTGACACAGTGTAGAATTAGTCTACACATCTGACACAGTGTAGTTAGGACTATTCCTAATTCATAAGTAGAATTAGTCTACACATCTGAGACAGTGTAGTTAGGACTGTTCCTAATCCATAAGTAGAATTAGTCTACACATCTGACACAGTGTAGTTAGGACTGTTCCTAATCGAGAAGTAGAATTATCACTGTCCCTAAACAAAATCTATTTCAAATTTGCTCCTCAGGGATTGCAGAAGGACAGACTGACATCAGGTGGTTCAAAGAGCAATTAGTCCAATGCAAATCAAACAGAAGCAACTCCCAGAAAGCCTATTCAACCTTTTAGAACAGTTATATTGAGGAGGCCTATGGTTATAAAGTTCCCTGCCACCTTGGGATACTATTGTGTGGTTACTAATGTCCCTAAGCAATAACTGGAGATTCGTAGGTGGAGAAGTTAAGGAACTACTGCTTAACAATAATTTCTGGAAAAAAATGGAGCAAAACATGTGTATCTTTAAAAGTACAATTTGATTAGAAGCATTTTCATGTTTAGTGTGTTAACGAAAGCTATTTAAAAAAAAAAAAACCGAACCAAAACGTGTACCTTTCAAAGTACAATTTGGTCTGTAGTATCTCTATGTTTTAGTGTGTTAAGGAAAGTTTAAAAAACAAGACCAAAACATGTTCATCTTTGAAAGTACAGTCTGATCAGTAGTATCTACATGTTGTATTAATAAAAATATTTTTAAAAGGGCCAAAACGTGTGTATCTTTCAAAGTACAATTTGATTTGTAGTATCTCTTCGTTACATGTGTTAAAAAAAAAAAAGCTTAAAAAAAAAAAAAAGCGGCCGCAGTGAAAAGTCTTGCATGTTGAAAACGCATAATGACAGAAGTTGGCATCAAAACAACAGACATGAATAAAGCAATACATCTATACATTTGTCTCATACAGCATAAACATTCTTTTATGCAACAAAAACACAACAAAATGCTTCTTTCTTTTCTCTAATCCTGGAATGCCTCGCAGCATCAGGAACTGACCCTTCTGTTTGTTTCATATATAGTTTTTTTTTCAGTGCCTCAGATATTTCCGTAGTCCACATTCTGTGTGGTCAACCTCTGGCTCGTTGTGTCTGTATAACATTGCTCTCTGTGGTACCCTCTCTGTTGCCAATCTTGTAACATAGCCGAACCATTTACTCTGTTGTCTACCTATAAAGTTCAGTATTGATTCTGTACTGACTCTCCTCCTGATATCATCATTCCTAAGCCTATCTTTCAGTGTTACACCTAGCATGATACATAAACAAGCAAAAAAGTTCCTCTATGCTGGCATATTAATGAAAATCCACTTTGAGAGTTTTTTTAATATTATTTCTTCCATTATTTGAGGCAAATACAGAATCGTCAAGTTCTCATATATTTATTTTTAAAATGAAAATGAGATCAACATTTTTAAGCAAAACACACAGGGGAAAGACCTCTTCAGTATAAGGCAGACCATTTCATACAAGTAAATGTAGTTCATGAAAGACAAACTTCAACCCTGCACCCGTGACTTGTATAAATATTTAACTTGTTATCGCAGTTTGCCAACAACACCAGTTGTAAAGGCATAATTATAAACCCTTCCAGGGATTATGTTCAAATGATTTAGGAATGTAATGCTGCATTTCTGTAATATATTAATAAAGTAACAGCAAATGTGTTGATTGGCACTCATAGAAAGAAGTAGAAAGAAGAACACACTAGACAACATACAAATCAAAAGCTACAGTTACCAAGCCGGGAATTATTGGCCATGTCTATCGTACCGCTTGAAATCTACAACTTTGGAATACAGCAAATATTTAACGACCTCAAGGACCCCCCCCCCCCCCCCCCCTCCCGAGTTTAGCCTCAAAGGTTCTTCTCCAAGTGCCTCTGGGCCTGCCTCTTCCTCATGGTGTCCAGTGCATTGCCTGCCTGTCTATCCTCATTCTGAGGATGTGTCCAATCCACCTCCATCTTCTGTGAAGTCTTTCCTCAAAACCTCCTGAGCATGCTCTATATCTTTCTGTTTTTTTTTAGGTTTCTGCTCCATAGAGGAGAACCGTCCTAATGTAAGTTTTGTAAATCTCTTAGTTTAGATGTACTGCTGTAGATGTTTGATCTCCAGATATTCTGAAGTCTGTTGTAAGCAGTTTTGTCGCAGCATTTCTCTGCTTGATTTCAACCACTACATTTGATTACCTGATTATTATTTTATGACAAGACAAAATGTTCTAGTATTTTTCTGTCTGTTGCCATCACTAAGATACCAAAACCAGTTGTTTCCTTATCTTGATCATTAAGGACCTTGCTGATTGGTATGAACAATATGCTTTATCAAAAGTAAAGTCGGGAGATGTAAACCAGCGTCATTGCACACGGTTATAAACCATAAATGCTCTGCCACCAGTACAGACAGCAGATAAAAATTGTCCGCCTGTGTCGCCGTTCGCACGTAACTGTAGCTATGACGACGTTCCTCCATTTACCCCAGAGTGTCAACTCTAGTACATTTCCTACTGTAATCTCCCATGTCACAATTTGTATGCAACACCATCCCAGACTGTTTGGCTCTCATTCCGGAGACCCCAGATTCAAATCCTCGGCCATGTGATGGGTACAAATGCAATTCTAACTTGCACAGTTTGTGGCACCTGCACTAGATATGCAGCCCTAAACCATGCTCAATACAACTCGTTCTATACAACTGCTTCTTGTGATCGCTTTCTGATTGACACCGACATGAGTTCTTATGATCAAATTTGACACAGGCAGATGAGTTATGATCAAATTTGACACAGGCAGATGAGTTCTTATGATCAAATGACACAGACAGATGAGTTCTTATGATCAAATTTGACACCGACAGATGAGTTCTTATGATCAAATTTGACACCGACAGATGAGTTCTTGTCAAATTCGACACCGACAGATGAGTTCTTACGATCAAATTTGACACCAACAGATGAGTTCTTATGAACAAATTTGACACCGACAGATGAGTTCTTACGATCAAATTTGACACCTACAGATGAGTTCTTGTCAAATCTGACACCGACAGATGAGTTCTTGTGATCAAATTTGACACCGACAGATTGAGTTCTTGTGGTCAAATTTGTTCTTGTGATAAAATTGACTGTTTAGTTTCCTGTTAGTTTTTTACAACTCTGAGGGTTGACACATTGGGCCAGTTCTCCCTTCTTAATGGGCAGCACAAGGGACATTCTTACAAAATATGTTCTGCTGTTTGCAGAAACAGTCCAGATGGGCAGATCGGTAAAAATGTGCTAAAAACAAACAGCAGACATTTTATAGATATTTATCTCAAGCATCTGTAATTTCAGTTTTGACTTTCCATGAGGAACAACAATGAGAAGGAGACAAAGTTCTTTGGTCATGTGATGAGAAAAGGAGCAGTCGAAAATGTCGTCATGACTGGAAAGATCACTGGTAGAAGAAGCAGAGGCAGACCAAGAGAAATGATAGTGGATGGCTTAAGACAGTGGCATGGAGGAATATCATCAGTGGAAGTGATCCAGAACACCAAAGACTGAGATCTGTGTTGACGCACGAATGCCCATGCCAGCTGGCAAGGCACTTGACGATGATGATCATGATGAAGAACTCAGCAGTCAGATTTACCGTATAAAAGTATGATTTTATTACCATGCTAAACATCATCATCAAGCAATGCGAACACAGTAATGTATTTAATGTAATTATCCTCTATGACAGGCTGTAATAAATTCTCCTATGTACAAGCAGAAACAAACAATGAACATTTCAAGGCGAAAGATATTTTCTGTAGCTCAGACAGCACTGGTGATGTTTACAGCTTGGGCTTGCCGGCAACTATCTGGCTTTCAATGCCGCACTCGTCACGACCACGGAGGATTTTGAAGAATCCTGGGGGGAAAAAATTTTAACATGTAATTAAAATCATTTTTTTTAACTACCATTTTTTAAACTTTTTAGAGTAGAGAAGGACTTGAGAGTATGAGCCCCAGTGCCACATGGACAGGGCAGGTCAGGATTCTATCTTCTCCCCCCCTCCCTTCTTCCAAAAGAAAAAAACCCACTGCTCTACTGAGGATGTAAACCTGGCTGACCAACTGCATCTCTGTATTGTAATACTGAAAGCATTTTCAAAGAACTCACAGTGGTAATGTGGACAGCACTGCCGATCAAGACTGGGAAGGGGCTTCTGTATTCAGGGTGGTTGTGCTTTGCAGCTAGGCTGTGGTATCTGCACCGTTTGACCCCACTCATCCAGTTTTGACATGCTTTTTAAGGGCAGTGGGCCCCCCCCCCCCCATCCCGCTCACCACCCCCACCCGCCCCATAAATGGGGCCCTGGTACCCACTCGGTGGTGTGTTCTGGTTACAAAGACATGATACCTTTTTCCTATACAGTTCTGGGGCAGACTCCGCCTGATTAAAACTGGGCCCAGGTTAAAAAAAAATTTTTTAAACTTTTAACTCTTTGAGTCCCAAGGAACGCATCACACGTTCACATGTTTCTACCTAGAAGCCCAAACGAACGCATGATGCTCCAATTTTTTTTTACTACCCCATGGGCCTGTGATGCTAAACCCCCTGGGACTCAAAGAGTTAAGACAAAACTAATATTTTTTGTGACCAAATGTAGAATATCAGTGTCAAACAGGGGCCCTTACTCACAACTAGTGAGTGCAATATCATAACAGAGAAGAGATGTCAATGAAAAGCTGATGGAGTAATAACAAGAGATATAATTGAAAAAGAAGAAATTAGAAGATAAGGTATGAAAGGGAGAATATTTCTTAATTCAGCACTTTCTATAAGTTAGTTGTGTATCCTTTACAGGACATCGCAGAACCAAACCCAGCATCTTTTTGGCAGTTGCGGTTTTACTAGGCAAATTTTACATTTAGCAGTTTGCCACTGCTTCCTAAACAGTTAACTCTCGGTACCACAGTCGAAGACAGCTCAAGACAAATCATCTGCAGCTGGGATTAAACCCGGCACCCCGGCATTACGAAGCACATTTGCAACACCTAAGCCACAGACTCCGACACTTTCTGTAAACAACAACCAAAATCAATGAGAAGACTCACCATTATCACCCCAGTCGGGGTTCCAGGAGTTGGCAACCAGCCAGTACTTAGTTCCATCTTCCACACCGTAGCCAAGGATCTTCACCGCATGTCCTCCAAGTTCTGTGCCAGAGGTGTACTGGTAGACGCCTATTCAAAACAAAAATGAGAGACAATACTTGTTAACTCTTGCAATACCACACAAATGCATCATGTGTTTGTTTACTGGAAAGTCCAAAGACAGTTTATACTTCTTACTCTATTATAGTTATTGCTAGATTACCTCAGTAAAGAATTTTCAGTTTTACTCTTGACGACGTGTGTGGGGTCTTGGTCCCCATTGTTGAGGGTGTAGACCCACTGATCCCTTGAAAAGCATGTTGTAAAAGCTGACCAATCAGGGGTGTTTTCTTCAAATTTGAAGAGCATCTGCCTGAGAGACAAGGAACCACTAGTCTGCATACAAATAAGCCAGATCTGTTTTTAAAAAAATGGCTTGCATGTAAAACTGAAGTTTTGGGATGAGACTAATGTCCAGAAGACCCAGGGCAGTGGGTCTTTTCTTTCTTCCCCCCAAAATGGAGCCCCAGTCAGTCTGTAAACCATAAGGCAAGATGCCAACCGCCTTTTAGAGACAGATGCCACAAAAATGAAGAAAGATCTAAGCACTAAAATGAGCCAGTCAGGAGTAGAAGTAAATACCAGACTGGTTAGTAGATTCATAAAAAATGTATATGAAAGCTGCAGAAATATTTTTAATCAAATGCATCTAGCAGCTGGAGTGTTCAGAATCATCATCCTGTTATACTGCATGTCACTGGGTCACCAGCTGCTGCTGACTGAATAGCTCCCTCCAGCTTTGACAGTCAGAGGCAATGGGCTTCATGGTTTTATGCCCAAGACCTGTCCAGTCAGTCAACTTGTTCTTCTTCTTCTTGTTCACCGGCTGTAAACTCCGGCAGAAAGTTCTGGTTGTTCGTCCACTTCTGGACTTTTAGTCTTTTTTCAAGAACCTAAAGGGCTCGCTGAAGAAGAAGAAGAAACTAGCAAAAGACAGAGAACCATATCTAACTATTCTTTGTGATGCATAATGCATAACAACAGAAGAAGATGATACCTGAGTCAGAAGGCTGCAGACAGACTTGATGTCCAGAATCCTTCAACAGAGACTATAAGAAGAAAGGAGGTCTCCATGGCAAAGTGATCAAGCTATCTGCTTCGTGCTCTGATGGTCATGGGTTTATTTCAGTCATGGTGTTCAGTTCATGAATGTAATTTTTATGAAGCCCCGAGGGAGTGTTGCTGGGACCGCAGAGTTTGTGCTTTGTGTGGCCCAATCGGTAAGTGGCTAGCCATAATGGTGTAAGCTAGAGCAATACAGTCAATCCTAATGACTTTAACCTCAAAGGAAGAAATAAATAATTCCAACTACAACATAAGATAGAAGCATAGTACTGAAGACCAATGAGCGCAAGGACACACTGATTAAACCCACAAAGTGTTTGTATGTTGTGTTTAAAGACTGCTTGACATTAACTCATAAACTCCAAGAGTGTCTGACATTAACTCACACATACCTGACTTGTAGTTGATGAAGTCACTGTAGACAGTGAATGCTGCTTCCACTGGACCGTTCTGCACCAACTCCTGTTTAATGTTATCCTCACCACTGACAGAGTAAGTAGTAACACCTGAAAGACAAACAATTTCGAAGTTTGCTAAGTTCAACCCTGAACAAAGTATCAAATATAAAGGTTTTGGCATGACTGGGAATGGAAAAGTGGGGTGTGGGGGGGGGGGGGGGTGACAAAAAATATCAAGAAGAGACAAGTGAAAAATATAGTCTAATCAACTACGCAATTTACAATATAAGAAATTGAGCGAGTGAAGTTCAATCACATCAGGAACGCACAATGAGGGACTAACATACTGTGACACAAACTGCCACCATTTGGATGAGAATTATCTGGGTTCAACTCCCCGAAACCCCATTTAAGTGTTAGGTTATTTAGGGCCACCAGGGACAGCTGGAAAAAGGGAGGGGGAGGGTGGGGGTGGCTTTAAAATTACAAATGTCATCCCATATTGAAATGGGGTTTGATGATTTAAAACCTCTCTTTGAATCTGCATTTTAGTTCAGTCCACAACACTGCACCGTAAAAATATCCTTGATTCTTGCATTCAATTGAAGTCTTCTTCACTGCACAATCTAAGACCAGCAAACCTTGCAATCAAGTCTGCTTAGTGTACTCCAGATTATATCTAAGACATCTTAACCTTGTAGCAAAGTTCACACATACTTCATGTGGTCTCCGTGGGAAAGTTGTCAGGCCATTTGCTCTGCGCTCTGAAGGTCATAGGTTCATTTCACAGCGACGCCATTCAGTTCACGAGTACAATTTTTACAGAGATCTATGCGGATCATCACCAGAGCTACGAAAGGTCATGCTCTATGCGACGCTCTCTGCAGGCACCTAGCTGTTCTGGGGAGAGAGAGACTGAGCCATATGGGATAATACCTGGGGCAATGAAGTGGATCCTCTCCCCTTTAACCTGTCATCCTATAAGGCACTCCTTAACTCTTTCAGTCCCAAGCGGCTGTTATTTTACCCCAAGGAGTTGAGCTTAAAGCAATAAATTAATGCAACAGGTCTGGGGACAGAACAAAACAAGCACATGAAATCTTTGAAATTGCCAAGAAAGACAAGGTGCGTATTTTTGGTACCCAAAGAGTTAAAAGAAGTGATTGGCACATTGTGTTTGGGTTTACTACTAGGCTGCAATATCTGTGCCTTTTCTGCCCACCACATCCAATTTCAGGAAATCTTGAATTAGCTGCATTTCACAACATGCTTGTTAGGAGCAGGAGGTCCCTTATTTCCTTCAAAATAAAGCCTGAAAACTTTAAGAGGCAGAGGGTCTATACTATCTTCAAAATAGGGCCTCAGAACCCACACAGCTTATACAGGTCTGAACCTTGCTTTCAAGCCTAACTAGTTCTGACTTTCCTGAAAATAGGTCCAGCCCAAAACAAAATAAGCCGTAGCATGATTTTTTTCAGGATACTTTTTTATATAAGCCCTACCCCAACAATAAGCCCTAGTTAAGATTATTCAGCTAGAATGAGAGACTGGTTGAATGGCCAGTCGGAGTACAGACATCACTGGTGTGCACTTGATAATGAACAGATGAGGTTCACAGTTCAAGGTATATCACTCGTGTGAAATAAAGAAGCAGAATGCCGACAACAGCAATTTCTTGTGGCTTGTGTGTGCCATCGTATTCTTACCTCTGATCAATTTTTGTGTGTGTGTGTGGCCACAACTGTCTTGTACATCTTCAATTAACACTTGATTTAATGGTAGATTTAGGAGAATAAAACCATATTCTGATACCCAGAAAAGACATGACAATGTTGCAGACGAAGATGATATGGTTATGTAACAACAACAAAAATACAATTCTGTACATTAATAAATAAAGACTTATGTATCATAACTTTGAAAAAAAAAAAAAAGATTTCTGCACAAAATAAATTTCCATTTGAAGCAAAAATTAATATAAGACCTGGTATTATTTTTGTAGAAACAACAGTAGGTGATCCTCATTTTCACTAACAACAGCTCTGCCGACCCAGCCTCTATTATTCAAAAACAGAACACAGCTCACATCAAGACAACCACACAACTCACCAAAGTGCTTGTCCTTCAAATATGGAGTCTTGTAGGTTGCCTCACAGGAATTCTTGCACTTGGGCGTCTTCATGATCTCGGAACTGCAGGGTTTCAGGTGGCCAACAACATGGTGGTCACATGCAGGAATCTCATAGGGTTGGCAACCCTTTAGCAACAATAAAACAAGATTGAGTTAGCGATCACAGAAATATTAGGGCTGCTTTACACTTTCATCATAATCAAAATCCTGTTCTGTCATTCGCTCGAAATAGATTATATCTGCAATACTGTCTCTAGTTTGAACTTCACTGTCATTTTTAAAATTCACTCAGCGACCCATAAAGTTTGGCTTCCACTGGTGTTTCTCTTGGCCAGAAGTTTTGCCCTGATATGTTGCATTTACAACAGTCCTGTAGGACTTGATTTGATGACTCAGGTGCTAATCCACATGTGCATATGGCTGATTTGCCAATCTTAACACTGTTTACATGTGTCTGCGAAGTCGACTGGACCCTGTTCTAAGGCAAAGAATAACAACTTGCTCAGATCATCTTGATGTGTTATAACACATTACATAGGGCTCACAGTCTTGTCTTCCATTCTGTGCAATCCTTCTGATATGTCTTCGGGGTATGCAGGAATGTTGAGAATGAACGTGCAGGCAGATTGGCTAGTTTTGCACCAATGGGTGGTGAACTTACATAAAAACTAGGTGTGGTCAAGACAGTGAGCAAGTAAACAATACATCGGCATAAAAAGATCATTATGGCCTGGAAAGAAAGGCACAGCTAGGAGTGTCCAGGAGATCTGATCCACAATGTACACTTAAAAGGAAAGACAAGACCGGTATACAATTTAACTGGTACCAACGGAAATGGAACTCTTTTGCTGGCAGCCGAAGATTAGGATGGAGCGCTTATGGGAATGTCCGAGTGTTGAGATGTTAGCTCGACATTACCGTTTGGCATCATGGAAAGAATCCAGTCTGGCACCTTTTGTCTGGTTTATTTTTTTCTCAGACATCACTGCTTCCTTCAATCTACTGATTTCTAATTTCAGTGCTTCTTTTGTTTTTCTTTATCCAAGTCACCTCTGGATGTTTTATTTATTGCTATCTTTGTATTAAAACTTGATACCTTCAGCGGTAACAAACATTTTTCCGATTCCCTTTTTCACTCCAGAATGATCACATCCAACAATTTGTTTTCACAGCCATTGGAACAGTCAGCTGTACTTTGAGAATCGGCTGCAGCAGATGGAGCAACTACTATGCTATGATCAGTAATTCCAACAACAACCACAAAAAAATCCAAAACAACTCAAAATTATGTGTGAATCTGGAATTAGGTGGATCATAAAGAAAAGGTGTATAAAAAGATGAGTACGATGAGTGTTAACAACCTGTCTTGGCCCCCCATCCCCACCCCCCTCCGCAAATGTTGAGTGACACCTGAAGCTCACAGAAACACCCAGCTGCATCAATCTCTCCCGGTATGTTTCACTTATTGCCTCATTGGTGTGGAAAAGCATCTACACCTTACAAATTTTCCACAAGAGATGGAGCAAGTATTAGTAAGTCTGCTATGCTTTGATGTTGATTCCTGATCAGCAATGAGTATTTTTTTAAAACTACAAAACAACTATGTGTACCTGGGAACTGTTGTAAGGACCACCTGAGACAATACCAGTGTTCTGGTAGAAGGCCCAAGCCTCCGAAGGGAAACCACCATTGCAGCTGGAAAAAAAGGGGAAAAGAAACATTACTATACTAAAGCAATTAATAATTAACTACAAACATTCATTAACTGGTGCTTGCGCAGAATAGAGGGAATTAACTTGCATGATAGAATCACAAATGGGGAGCTTTAGGAGAGAACTAAACAAGTTCCAGTGGACCAAGCGGTAAAGAGATGCTGGCATCAGATAGGACACGTGAAAACCTGAGAACAACATAACTAGAATGTCTTTGCCCTGGAACCCACAGGGGCATAGAAATAAAGGAAGACACACACACAAACCCTCGAGAAGGGAGTTGGAGAGTGAAGTTAAAAAGATAGGGAGGACATGGGGAGAGCTGCATACGAAGGACAGAACGACTTGGCGTTAGTCAGCATAAACTAACTAATGCATGGTTAGCTGCTTGACAATGAAAGAGTTAATTATATTACCCTTTTACACAATGATAAGAAAAGGTATTGGGTCAATTCTTTCTTTTGTTGTCACTCCCCCATACCAGGTTGTAGCCTAGTGTTGTTTTCTGTGTTTTTCTAGTGCTTCTCAGGTTTCAGTGACACCATTTATCCATCCATTTTTTTTTAAACTTTTCCTTGCTTTCCTCTCAGATGTTCTGCTGTAAAAAAGTCTAATATTAAAAAAAAAAAAAGTTAAGGACCCTCTTCCATGCCTTTAGGCGTATAGGGCTAGACCTATATTTTATAGACCAATCGGCACAAGATGGGTGATGTGATCACCATCACACAGACCGCCTTTACTTCCCGGGACTACATCCCGTACCCACTCAAGGCCGGGTGGACCTGGGAGCCAAGGTCATTTTTGAAAAAAAAAAAGCCCGGCTTCACCAGGGAGCGAACCCACAACCTTCCGATTCGCAGCCAGCATCTAGCCGATCCGCCACGGTGACTCCCCGTCTAATATTCAGTTTGGTGTTTATTCATCACCTCTTAAAAATTTGACTCGAATCCACACGGGGAAGCTAATAATTCTAACAAGTGTTAATAAACAATCTTATGAACATCAAAGTTGTAAAGATTATTTTCAGACATCCTGGATGCCCCAGTTTGCCATTAAAAACCTCCTCTGGTTAACTTACCCATCACCACAGGAATCACAACAGGCCAAAAGGTCTTCAGCAGAAAAGCGAAACTGGACCTTTCCTTTGGATTGGATGCAGATTCGATCAGTCATAGCTTCAGTGGCACCAAAAGCCTGAGAGATGCATAAAGGTAAAGATAATAAGGGAATTTTTCCTTTTCTTGTTGGTACGAAGTCCTGTCACTTTTTTTTCAGGCACTACTGAGACTATATGTGCTGAGTACCGGTAACCCTTTAGAAACAAAACTCCTTGAGTACATGAGATACTACCGGAAGTGTGGCAGACTTTCACCTATTGTTGACACTATGCCAGAATCACCGGAGCACTAAATCCTTGTTTCGAGACAGATCGCACCTGAACACTGCAGTGAGATGAAAAATTAGTCGGTATTTACCTATCTGAAGTAGGAATTCACATGTGTGACTTTGAAATATTGTGAGGTGAGATGCAAGCGAGGGAAACTGTTGAAGCTGCACCCATGTTACTTTGGCACAGTGCAATCATTTAAAAAAAAAAAAAATTAGCTGTGTATCTTTTATTGGATGTTGCAAATCAACCCCAGAATTTGTTGGCTGTCTTTGATTTTACTAAGTAATTTTCTGTTCAGTAGTTTGCCACTGCTTTCTCAATGGTCGGCACTCCATACCATTGTCAAAATGGATGCAAAGCAGTCTGCTGACAAACTGTAGCTGAATCAAATGGGATATTCTGAAACTACATATAAACCATTTCTGCAACCCTTAACCCCCAGATGCCATGTCATATCAACCTGTTCTTCTTTCATTCACTCGAAATAGATTATATCTGCAATGCTGTCTCTAGTATAAACTTCACTGTCTCTTTTAATTCACCCAGTGACCTGTGAAACTTGGCTTCACCGGTGTTTCTCGTGGCCAGAAGTTATGCCTTGATATGTTGTATTGGTAACAGTCTTGCAGGACGTGATCTGTTGTTTCAGGTGCAAAAATATATCTGGGTGTTGGGACTCTAAACCAGCGCAACATCTAAATGAGATTAAAGAATATCATCATCATACCTTGGCAGATAACATTGGTGTCCGCAGCGTCTCTCCATAAATCTGAAGTTCTGTGGTATTGGATCAATTGTACGGATGAAACTCCTCCATATTACCACCACTATCATCTGTGTTGGCCTATCCGTCCTGTTCACAGCTGATCTTTTCCAACTATGATGTTCTTTCAAAGCCTCTCATATTATTTGCCTGAAGAACACTGCCTCTTCTTCTTTTATCAAAGTCTTGTTTTGTGCTGCCAGCTGTCACAGCTCAATCTATTACTGCATCCAGATGGCTAACCAACAATCTAATGTCTTAATAATGGGGGAACAATCTGCTGTCTACCCCAAGCAGACAATCAATCAATTTCCTGTCTTCCCCAGACAGAGAATCTGTTTCTTTTGTATTCTCCAGACAGTCACTCTATTTTCCCTGTTTCTTTTGTCTTTCCCCAGACAGGCAGTGAATCTATTTTCCTCAGGTAGACTATTATTTAACTGGACAGAGAAACCATCAATTTACTGTCTTCCCTAGACTAAAACACTGTATTGTTTTACCTATATAGATAGACAGGGAGCTGCGTGGTCTCGGGTTTCCCGTTCAGGCCCCGGTAAAGGCTGGGATTTTCCACGTGGACTTCTAGTAATTTCTCATGGTCTCTGGATAATAATATCGGATTCCTGTGTGTATTGTCGCGCACATAAGAAACCCCTTGGCAGTTGTAAATCAAAAAGAGTAGCCTTAATTTGGAGTTGAAAATCTACCTAAAGTATTTCAGGATCCTCGCCGGTTCCACAGAGTTCGTGCACTGCGCTGAGATGCTTCATGCTCAGACCTGAATTAGAACGGAGCACTTATGTGTTACTACCCTTGTGCCATGATGCTGATTCATTGTTTTAAACCTAAACCTATATAGACAAACAAGCCTCACATTTTACTTAATAATCTACCGCCTTACCCATACAGGCAAACTATATTCCCTAGACAGGCAAACTATTTTCCCGGACAGGCAAACAATCCATTTTCCCAGGACAGGCAAACAATCTATTTTCCCCGGACAGGCAAACAACATTTCCCATTACAGACAATCTATTTTTCCCCAGACAGGCAAACAATACATTTTGCACAGACAGCCAAACAATCCATTTTCCCCAGACAGGCAGGTAAACAATCCATTTTCCCTAGACAGACAAACAATCTCTTGTCTTTCTTACCCAGCAGGAACCACAGTCTCCCTGATCCCGGACCTCCTTCAGCGATGGGCAGTTTGGAAACTCCACTCGGGGATCAAAGTTGTCCGGCAGCTGGGTGACCTTCAGCTTTCTCTCAAACTCTTGTCTGGGCAACTGGCGAGTCAAAAACTCTGACTTTGCCATGTTAGGCACCCCCATGATTCTTTTCACGTGCTCGTGGTCTTCAGGAGCAAAATTACGGCCAGCCTGGCGGATGAATAAATAATTTGTTAAAGTTCCTCCTGCTCTAATCAGTGTCATGGGTGACTGATTGTGTGTCATATGTACCCATCAAGATATGCTTGGGTGGCTTTTTTAAAGTGTAATAATACATTATGTGTATTGATCGTCTTTTGCATCTGCACTTAAAAAGGCTGACAAACTGTTTTGAAGTTTACAGCATCTATGCCTTTTGGCTCAACACTTCCGATTTCAACTAACCCTGAATTAATTGCAATTTTTGACATGTTAAGAAGCAGTTGGTATATTCTTCCTGGAATTTATAAAGGATATATGTATCAATCTGTGTACTGTGTTGACCATGTTTTATGTGTACCAGTCAATGCATCAGTTGTGATGGCTCATGTTTTATCTGTACCAGTCAATGCATCAGTTGTGATGGCTCATGTTTTATCTGTACCAGTCAATGCATCAGTTGTGATTGCTCATGTTTTATGTGTACCAGTCAATGCATCAGTTGTGATTGCTCCTGTTTTATGTGTACCAGTCAATGCATCAGTTGTGATGGCTCATGTTTTATCTGTACCAGTCAATGCATCAGTTGTGATTGCTCATGTTTTATGTGTACAAGTCAATGTATCAGTTGTGATGGCTCATGTTTTATGTGTACCAGTCAATGCATCAGTTGTGATTGCTCATGTTTTATGTGTACCAGTCAATGCATCAGTTGTGATTGCTCATGTTTTAGGTGTACAAATCAATGTATCAGTGATTTCTCATGTTTTATGTGTACCAGTCAATGCATCAGTTGTGATTGCTCATGTTTTATGTGTACCAGTCAATGTATCAGCTGTGACTGGCCATGTTTTATGTGTACAAGTCAATGTATCAGTTGTGACTGCTCATGTTTTATGTGTACAAGTCAATGCATCAGTTGTGATTGCTCATGTTTTATGTGTACCAGTCAATGCATCAGTTGTGATGGCCATGTTTTGTGTCAAAAAAGGTTAAGATCTGGACCTGACTAAATGTAGCCCTTCTTGCCTCACTCCTTTCATATTGTTCAATAGAGGCAAGCACTGAGATTAAACGAACATACCTTCCATGTAGTGTCAGCAACATGGTTGATGTAGTCAATATGCTCATCAGAAAGAAGCCCAAAGTCTGGCTTTCTTAAATGTGCGCATGAGACTGCACACAGCAGTGCTACAATAAGCAGTTTTAACATGGTTGTTTCTTGAATTCTGTGTGAATAAACAAAAATAGACATTAACAATTGTAAAAAAAAAAAAACACACCATATACACAAGTAAAGTATCTGACAATCACTGCTGATCAAATCCCAGAATTGATCAAATCAGCCACTTAACACTGATGGATTGTTAAGGAAGGGATAGCCGTATTCATGGACTTATCCTCAGTACAACAGATTAATTAGGTTTTCCAAGCCAGCTAAAAGAAATCTATATTTAACAAAAATTATGCATATGAAGAACACAAATTCTTGTCAATAAAGAAGTAAGGAAAAGACACTGGCGTTGCATAGGACACAATTTTAGAAAACCTAATCATCTAACTGGAATGTTAAAATGGAAACCACAGGGTCAGAGGAATAAAGGTCAAGAGAAAAATACCTAAAAGGGAATTGATGACATGAAAATAATGAGGAGGGAAAGAGATATTGGGGTGAGCTGCATACACAAGTGCAAAGGATATAACAACTTGCTGAGAGCTGGTTGAAGGCTCCCCCATGTGGGTTTCAGGACCCCACTGTGGAGAAAACAAGAATAGACCCTCTGCCTCCCTAACAAAAATGTTGCAGAAGTTTACTAATTAGGCGATTCTTTGAAATTGGAGTGAATTTGCCAGAGAGGCAAGGAACTATCTGACTGCAAACAAACAAGCAAGATCTAAAGAAAGGATGTGAACAACACAAAACACAAGTTCTGGAATAAGACTAAAGTCCAAAAGTGAATGAACAACCAGAACTTTCCACTGGAGTTTACAGCCGGTGAACACAAAGAAGAAGAAGGTTGAGGGTATGTTCCATGGGGATGATTGATAAAGGAGCTGAAGAAGAAGACTTTATATGGTACTGATAACATGAACAGAGAAGGCTTTGAGTAATATAAATGCACATGGCAGAGTAGGTACAAGTAACAATCCAGACTGGCGAACTAGATCAGTGTAAAAAAGGTAACAAGAATCTTAAACAAATGGTTACAAATGTTGCCAATCTAAAATGTCAAACTTTCTTATTCTAGGAGTTCATGTTTGTTAAGTCACAACAGCCTAGAGATAATGCGTCATACAAGGACATGAAACAGTCACCAAATACTGACATCATCATGATCAACAACGACTTTGGATGGGTTTTTTTTTCACTTCCTGCTTAACTGTTTTTTCTAGGTTAATTTAAAAATTTGTGTCCAATACTTTTGTATTATATTAAAAAAAATCTTTACATTTTCTGAAGAAAAGTGTGTATGCCAGGTCTCTTTATTAATAAATAATTGCTGTGCTAAAATTTAGTATACAAGAAAGAAAAAATACTGAAACCATGGGCTGCGTTTTCTAGCTTTTGGAACCAGAACCATGCCTGTCTTTTTGATGGCTATTAATAATATTTTAATAGTTAGTTAGTTAGTTAGTTGGGTTATCCTCATTGCACTCCGGACATGTCCATAGGTGCTCAGATCCTCCCCTCAGTATGAACCCCAACGTCCGATGGCTAATAGTACCAGTTCTATGTTGATTAACAAGTCTTCTGGCGTAGCTGGTGTGCGTCTCGTTTTTTGCTGTGCCGATCTTAATTCCCAAGTCTGCCATTCTGGCGAGTGATGTGGATTCACTGCCACCAAAGTCGTCTATCCTTCCCATTTCTCTGAGGGCATTGATAATATCAGCATGATCCATAGGCTGACCGTCGGTAGTGATAGCGGATCCAGCCAACCTGTCAGCTCTTTCATTTCCATCGACGCCTGCGTATCCCGGAACAAAAATAAAGGTGACTCCACGGACAGTGGACTTTTGTAATGATTCAAGCCATTGTCTTCGCACTGAACCTGCCTGAACCCTCCGGATCATACTCATTGAATCACTGAGTATACACACGCGGGTGTATTTTTGTGTTTCAAGCCAGGCAAGCGCTTGTGTCACTGCCATCACCTCCATCGTCATGCTGCTGGTTGTCATGGAGAAGGCGCCGTTGTCTTCTTTGACTGTTCTGCCCGCTGAGCGTGCTGTAAATGCCCATGCGCTTCTTCTTTGGCGTATAACGGATCCGTCTGTATAGATTATTGCATCTGCTTCGTCTGAATTTTCACCGATGAGAGCGTTGACCTTATTTTATAACCTTATGAGACGTTATTTTAATAATAACTACTAATTACAGTTGTGTCGCGTTATTAATGGCAAATGTTACAAAATGTGCTGCAAGAAATCGTTATAATGGCGACTGGGCACAAACAGTAAACTTTCCCTGCCTACTTTCAAAGTGACAACCAAGCTCAAGAGTTTAAAACTGAAACTACATTTTTACATACGCAGAGCAGTTCAGTCAGTTGCTAAACTTGCCTCTGTACACGTCTTTGACAGCAACATACACCAGCTAAGAACCGCCGTGGAGCCGTTTAAGTGCCCTAATTATAGTATCTTATGAGGTGTCTTTCGTAAATTAGCTCTGTTGGATTATGATTTTGAGAAAATGGCTTTTCAAGTAAAGTCGCAGTGGCGTCAAAGTCAAGGTAACCCCAAACTGGGGGGAAAACTCTCTGAAAGAAAAGTTACAAGATCTCTTTCTGTAATACTGTACAGAAGCGTAGATTTTGGACACGGCAAGCAAACGGTAGGACATAAAGACTAACCACGATGTTCTAAAAGAAAGAGAAAAACTTGCAAGCAACTTCTTACCTAAAGCGTTCCTCTCCCAACGAACAATGTCGGTCGTCTGCTTTTGTACAGATCAAGTCACGGGACCTGTGTCACGTGACACTTTAGCTGAAGATCATGTGATCACGGGATTGTTTCCAACAGGCGTGGTGGTGAAGGGGAATTACGTTGACCACGGGTTGGTGACAGATGCGTGGTCATTCCGGACACTCTGACCTTTGATTCATATTAAAATAAAAGTTAGTTAGATAGATGATATAATTCCCTTGGAAAGAGGGAAGAAAGATTATATAATTCCCTTTGAAAGAGGGAAGAAAGATGATATAATTCTCTTTGAAAAAGGGAAGAAATTATGAACACCTTAAACTGTGCTGCAGCTAGCTGGATTATAAAAAACAACGGTTTATTGTTGTTGATCACGGGTTTATGACGGATGCGTGGTCATTTCAGATACAGTGACCTCTAAGTTAGATGGGTGACTCAATTCCCTTGACTCTTTCATTTCCAAACAAGGCACAGTATGTGAGTGACATCATCCCTTGATTTCCCTCGCAGCATAATGTGATTTCTTTAGTTTAATATTTAGTCAGAACAAACGAAGTGGCTTCTCCAAGTTAATTATCATTGTTCACATTGCCACTTGGAAAGTAATGCATTCTTTTTTTTTTATCATCGTTATTTTTTCACATTGGTATTTCTTCTAAAACCTTCGAAAAGAAAAACGAATACTTGATAATGGGTACCACAGTTAACACTCTGGGGTAAATGGAGGAACGTCACTGTAGCTACGGAGTTAGGTGCAGACATCGACACAGGCGGACAGTTTATTATCAGCTGTCCGTACTGGTGGCAGAGCACTTATGGTTTATAACCGTGTGCAATGACGCTGGTTCACATCTCCCCACTTTACTTTTACCTTTGCCCACCTCCATTGGATTGCAAAGTACTTCGCAAACGTGTATCGCAGACATCACAATATAGACCAGTGGTTCTCAACCTTTCTAATGCTGCGACCTTTAACACAGTTCCTCGTGTTGTGGTGACCCCCCCCCCCCCCAAAACCGTTTAAAAAAATCCATGGTACTTCTAAACTTCAGTGAATATGTGTTTTCCGATCGTCTTAGACTACCCGTATGAAAGAGTCATTTGACCCCCAAAGAAGTCTCGACCCACAGGTTAAGAACCGTTGATATAAAGTATACAGGTAAATAGTGTCTATGATTTGCTCCTGTGTGTTTCACATCCAGGAGAATTCGTGGTTATTCAGCGTAGTTTACCCATGGGCCAAAATGTTGGAAATGGGGATTGTCACTGTCCAGATGCGTGACCTCCCTCATAAAATGATCACTAACTCGTTCAGTCCCAGAAGGCCATAACTCATGCCAAAGTGAGGCAGTACTGACAAAAAGAAAACATCATAGGCATAGTACCTCCATGAGAGCTAAATACATAACCCTCGTAGAAGTGTTGTTGGGTGTTCTACTATGTCCTGTCTAAAGATAACATTTACAGGCAGTATAATATTTTGACTGGTGCCCGCCAGAAAATGTTGTCATGTATGGTGCGTTGTTTGGTACTGAAAGAGTTAATACAAAACACTTGGCAATGAATCACGTGCCATTTGCTAGGCATCTGCGTACTGGCATAGGTCTGTAGGCCGCCAGTTGAGTAACTCTGCACTATATGTTATTACTACAGACCGCATTGATGGCAAACAAATACTAAAAACAAAATACTAGCCCAATCAGGGTTCGCAGAAACAGAAAGCTGAATCATTAGATAAAGATTTTAGGTTTGAACAACGGATAACATCATGTAACGGGTAGTAACCCATAAGTGCTCCGTTCTTTCTTCTAACTCAAGTCTGATTCCGAAGAAGCTCAGCACAGTGCACAGGCTCTGAAATAATTTGGGTAGATTTTTAACTCTAAATTTTGCCCTGGCAGCGCTGTTAGGCTACTATTTTTGATTTCCAACTGCCAGTGGATTTCTTATGTGCACAACAATGCACACGGTCGTCCGATCTCACTACCCAGAGACCAGGGGGGAATTTCCACGTGAAAAATATCCCAGCCCTTACTAGGGATTGAACCCCGAGCCCCTTGCCTTGAGACCACGCAGCCCCCATTAGATAATAGATAATTGCCCTGATGATAGCCATGCGCTTCCCTCCCCAGAGGCGTACCTAAGGTAAAGTAATTGCTTTGTGCGCCACTTGGAAAAAGGGGTGGGGGGGGGGGGTGGAAAAGATCGACAAATCCCTTTTTTTTAAGTGGCAGCGTTTTATCTTGAAGGACCACAGTTTCATTTTGTTTAAGCAAGTGGTTAGGAGGGCGT